CCCCCACTGCCCCCTGGCAGACGCGCCCGCACCGCCCCCTGGCGGCCGCGCCGGGGTCCCGCTCCGCTCCCACGCGGGCACTGCCTTCATTTAAATAAAGAAGCTGGACAGCAGATAAAAACGTGCAGGTCACACACAGATCCTGCCCTCTGCCTTGGTCACCTTTCAGGGATTTCCCGGTCAATCTCCTTTTTAAACCACAACACTTCCTGATGTCTCCAAGACCCGAACCCCACGTCTGCTGTCCCGCCCCACTCGCTGCCCACGCGTGCAACTTGAGCTCACTTACACACGGGACAGCCTTGGCAAATTGTCCCCGTGTTTGCAGAAGGCCACAATGCACACTCTGCAGGTATATGACTAACTCTGAAGGGTAAATGTTTATTTTACTGCAATACTTATTTGCTTCCAAATCCCCCCCTTTCAGGAGGGATGTATATATGCTGTGCAAGCTAGAAAAAGAAGTCACTATCTGGTGAAATAATGGATTGTGCTAGAAAGGCTCAGGAGAGCTATTCAACCCTTAAGCACTCATTACCAAAAAGCAAGCAGACCCCAGAAAACAAGGATGCAGCAGTCACAACAACGTAGTTTACTTATTTATAGCAAAGCATTTCACTAGGAACGTGCTATCAGAATAAAACAGAAATCAGCATAAGAGCAAAAATAAGAAGACAGCACTTAATGGCATTTAATAGTAAAAGAACTTCAGAGATCTATTTATTTCATATATTTGTAATAATTCCTGCAACTACATGATCTTTATAGTCATTCTGATTCAATCTATGTTGGCAGACAGCAACTTCTGAGGAAGACTCATGTTACTCAGCTCCACCAGGACACAGAACCAGCAGTAAATTCAGAATAATCCTGACACCTCTCTTTAGAAGCGATTTTTCCACCTCTTCTCCCAGGCAGTCTCTAGTTTCAGTTGTGCTTTCAATACCCCTCCTGTTTTGCTACTCCTAAAGTCACTGTAAATTTAAAAAATACATACTGAGCTTGGATTTTAAAATAATTCACACTTATCTACTGTTCAACTGCTTAACCACATCAGCTCAACAGTTAACAGTTCTTTTTCATCACACCAGCAGAATGGGCATATCCAGAGCACAGGCTTCTGCTAGACCACCCAACAAGACACAGAAGTGGAATATTAATACTGACATTTTTCATCATCATTCAAACCAGCAGGGTTGCAGGCAGAAGCAAATAGTTTTGATTACAAAAACTCAGTTTGGAAAAAATACTCAGCCACCTTCAAAAAACCCTTTCTGATTACACAATTCAAAGCCATAGTCCAAAATCTAAGATTATACCTGATAAACTGATGAGACAAGACAATCTCCTATGTTTTACATTCTGGCATATGGCCTCTAGGCTCATGTAATCATCAGCTCAAGCTAGTGACCAGAATTTTTATTCAACAATGCATTGTCATTACAGGCTGACTTGGCATTACAAAGAAAGGGGGAGGGGGGCAGGAAAGAAGACATTAAAAAAAAATATTTAAAAAATGATGTCCTCTTTGAATATCTTTAGTAATCAAAACATCTTCCACGTTTATTTCCTTCTGGCTTTTTAGGAGTTGCAAAAAAGAAATTTGCCTTTCATTTACCTCTATATCCTGTAATTGCCATCACACAGCATATGAACAGAACAAGAAATTACAACTTGATGAGAAAACTGTAACAGAATGCTCAACAAGAAGGGATGGGGCAGCAAATTCCTCAAGCCATTGACTTGGTTCATACCTCCTTTAAAAAAAGCTGTCAACATAAATGCTGTATCAGCATCTTATTCTCTTAAAGGAAAAATATAAAACACATTCATGCTTCCCAGAGACATGTCATGGTATTTTAACAGTAAGTTGCTAGTAAGAATCTCAGCATTCTCTGGGTTGTTAAGCCATCCACAATGATAATGAGTGAATGTGTTTTAAAAGTCAATGAACTGGAAACAAAGCTCAAAATGTACCATTTGTGGCAATATTAGCAGCTTCTATTCAAAAGAAAGCAACACCTTTTTGTTGCATATATACAATGTCGGCAACGTTTACACAGTGTGAAAAATCAGTTCCCTGTATAAATCCAGGGCATGTCACTGCAAACAAGTTTTTTAATTAAAATTGGCATTTTTGAGCCTCCTACTGACTGACAGTGTCTCACTGCCTCTTCCTCAGATGGCTAAACTGGCTTCCAAGAGAGATGGTGGAAAGAAACAAAATCACTACAATACCTAACTTCGACAAGTCTCTGCTGGGGACAATTTCAATACCAGGATGCTGCAGAGAGAGGTAAGGAGAGAATAGATGACTACTTAGGAAGCCTTCCCTAATGAAGGCTCAAGTCATCACAAACAAAACAGTAAAGGAGGCATTTTATTCCTAAGCCTACAGACAGGATGATCGAGGAGAACAATTTTAATCAGAAACTATATTGTTAAAGAGAATGTCTGCACCTCAGTGGGTGCAGCTTTCTTTGAATGCGGAAGTAGGCTTAAGGGCTGGCTAGACCTCTGGCTGGGAGGCTGGCTCAGCTGTCAGCACTGGCAAAGCTTTATCCACCTCAGAAAGTAGGTGGATGTAGGCTCTCAAGTCAGACAGACAGATAGATTAAAAAAAACATCCTTGGCCAGAATATTTTCACAACTTAATGCAGAGTTTATATTGACTGCAAGTACTGTACCTTCGGGAGGCTCTTCCTGCAAATGTGGAGGCAGTTCTTCACTTGTCTCAGTTTCATCTTCCACCATCTGTGTTTCTAAGGTAGGTCCCTGCAGAAAAGCAAGAGGAGGTAAACTGGAGAAAGTTCTGACAGGAACCACAGAAATAATGACAAGACTAGATAATATGCCAGGCAGTAGGACACAAGGAGCTGACTTTAGCTGATGAAAAAGAAAGCTGCTGGGACATTTGTTTGCAGTGAAATTACTCACAAGAAGGGGGTGAGGAAAAAAAATTACTCTTCAAGCTAGCAAGCAAAGTTACAAGGCTCTGAGTAGACTAAAAAACAGAAACTGAATGTTGAATAACAATTTCTAAATTACTATTTCTAAAACACACCATGTGATAATAAATTCAAATCCTCATTCACGAAGGGTGGCAGCAGATTCACCATCACTTCGAATTTTCAGGAAAAAAACCCCAATCTTTTATTTGCCTTACCAAGACTAGATTCTGAAATGCCTGTGGCCTGTTCAAAACTGAAGATCAATGTGTGTTGTACTAATGGTCTCACATCTCATTTTTCAAAGGAATACCAAGCTTTACGACCTTCCCACCCATTCAGGTCCACTGACCACATAGTTTTCCCCTACGTGCCCCTACACATGCATTTGTGCCTGCATGTGTAACATGCTAAACTAACCACTTCTGACAAACAACCAGATCGCCATCCAAAGTTTTGAATTTCCTCTTTCCAGCCTTCAGGATCTTGGAAGGAGCCTACAGTGCTGCTGATGGAAGGATGTGAGCAGAGTTATCAGATCTGTAGACTTACAAAGCATTCATTTGTATCTAAGGCTGCTGAGTTCACTTTGCATACACACTATTTTCCTGAATGGTGGAGGTATAAAAGTGAAGTTGCTTTTTCAGTTTTGAACAATCAAAGAAAAAAAAAAAAAGGAAAAAAAAAACATTGTCTGCTTCTCTCTGCCCCCTTTATAGCTGTGAAGCTCCTTTAAAAAAAAACCAAAAAATTACCATTCTTCTTCTTTTGGAATGCTAGTACAGTCAAGAGTGAAACCAGAAACATTGAAGTCTTTAGGAAATAAGGCTTTTGTGCAGTTTGAAAACATAAATGGATTTGTAGTCTGAACTATCCAAAAACTTGTATTAACTGATGCAGCTGGAAGGTTACAGAAGTCTGCTTTAACAGTGGTACATCAGCAGCTTGTAAGATTCTCTTATCTGAACAGAGGAAGAAAAAGGGCTCATAGTATTAAAGCTGCAGTCTTTATTTTCATACTTTCCAAACCTTGTGGCAGCAAGGTTACCCCAACAGCATTGTATACTTTGTCCATTTCTTCATTTTGCCCATTATAAGGACTAACACACTTCTAAAGTTTCTTCCTGTGCACAAGCAGCTTACATTTTCATCCACAGCTCATTTTTTCAACAAAACGGACATGAAAACAAGAAGTACCACCACATTATTTTCAAGCTTTGGAAAGCAGGGAAAATCAGACTGCCTAATAGAAGTGTACAGGTCTACTGTGTTAGTACCACCATCACAATCTGGATTTCTGCCATCCATAACTATGCAGGCTTTAACTATTTCTCCTCATTTAAAAACACCTGGTATCAATACTGCCCAGCTTTGGTCAATGAACCATTCAAACATTAAGTCATGCCTCATAGTAGCTCCTATCATGGAAAACTGTTACCAAAGGGTACAGACAAGAAAGTAGTAAGTCACCTAACTTAATCCAATTAAAAGTCAAACCCCACAGTTAGTTAGCAACACTGATGTCTAACCATCTCCTCACTTCACCTAAATAATGTAACCTAGATTTTAAGAGTAAGTAAACAATTCTGGATAGAAGCAATATATTGAATATAGGGTATGTATTTAGGTAAGTTTCTACGTCAACTGCAGGCAATATATTTATACACATTTCTTTCCTACCCATTTAATGCTATAGAAACAGAAAGGAGCAGACTAGTATAGGTTAGTAAAGCAAATCAGAACATTTATTTTCACATAAAAGATGTAGACATGTAGGACACGAGGTACCAGTATTTGGCTTGCAAACATTCTGAACCACAACTACAAGAAGTTGTGAACTAGAAGTGGTCTGGAATCCTTTGTCATAATTACCAGCACAAGGCAAAGCTTAAGCCCTTACTATTTGCTGACTGAGGAGAGAATCAAACTTCCAGGGACTAAGGAAAAGCCAGCAAGAAAACCGTTATCTTTCCTTCTTCAAATAAGTCAGTAGTCCTACTTTGCCACCATGAGGCAAAACGGCTCAGCGGCTTCTCCCAACAACAACCCAGGACAGTGATGCTTCTTTGGGTTACAGTTGTTGTCATCTACATCAACAGAAAGAGGATGCAAAATGCCATCAAAAGTGAGTGATGGCATTGTGGGCTTCTTTCCCTTATGCATGAACTACTGCTCAGTGTTCACTAGCAATTCAGCTAGTGGTGGTGATCATTGGCAATACTTACCTTGACACAAAGGTTGATCTTAGCTGAAGGTCAACCTTAGCTCTAAGCAAGTAGTAACAAATCCAGCTGTGATGGAGCCTGTTACAGACCACTATGAAGTCCACAGCTGAGAAGCTGTTTGTCATCACCTACTTCCCTCCAATTCAAAACTTTAACACTTGCCACTGGAATTCCACAGAAGAAATATATGCAATTCAAGATTATGACTTTCATAGAATATTCCTAATATCTAACAGAAACAGCCAGAATTTTTTAAGATCTTCACTATTCAAAGACAGTAACAACACAGCATATTTGGAACTTTATTTTGTATGCATCTCCTGTATGTTTTTAAAGAATCTTCTCCAGAAAACACTGAAAAAGCTGATTTACAAGGGTTCTTTTTATTTCAAAATTCAGTGTTAAAAACTTAAAATGGTATAGACTGAAGCCTAGCATGTCAAGGAACCACAAACTTAACTTTTCCAAGAATTGTTTTGCAAGAAACCTTGAAATCTTGTCATTTTCTAGTTCCTAAAATGGAGTTAGGAATGCATTCTGTAGAATACTCAAGTTCTTATCTCACTGGTACCTTATCACTATATATATAACCACCTATAATACAGAGAGCCTTTAGAAGAAGTAGTCTCATAAACATCTGTTTACCAGGCTTCAGCACATCAGTTTAATCAAAACCAGTGAGTAAGCGTGCACGGTGTTGGTACTGAATTTCAGTAAGTAACTAAAATGTAAAACATCAGTAGATAAAATCCTAGGTTCTCTTATCCACATCTAGACATAATACTAAAGGCTCAAACACTGGCACATGTTATTAATAAGATTACAAAGTCTCTTTACAACAGCTCTGTACCTTTGTAACTTTCTTCGCTTTTAGTTGTACATACTGAGCTCAGTTCCCCAGGTCTCCTGCAAGCTCCGTAATAACACCTAAGATACCTGCAGTTCTGCTAGCATGGTACTCTAGAGCAATCAAAAATTCCAGGAAATTGTCTTCTAAGGAGATTTATAACTAAATTAGAGTTGTTAGTCTCAAGTTTGTTGCTTGGGTATTTTTACACTATTATTTCAATTACGATGCATCACTTATATTTTTTTTTTCGCTGTTAAGGATACTTGACAAACAAATAGGGAACGGGATGCACACAACTTTATAAAGCCAATGGCTTGCAGATAAGCAGCCACGGAGTGCCTTCTTGAGCTGCAGCCGTGGCAGGAGTAATGCAGACAGATGTTGCTTTTGCTTTGATGCTCCCTCTAGGAGCAGCTACGATGCAGGAAGATGTTTCAACACTTAGAAACACCAGTGGATTATCAACTCTACAATATTATTTCAATTAGTTAGGGTTTGTATAGCCTTTTTAATTGAGAATGTGGTACCATTCCTCCCTACAGACATTAGAGAAACAGATTTAAACAGTTGGTATAACAAGAGTAGTTAGGTTATGGCATGGAGCCTAGGAACATGTAACCATGAAAAAACTCCGTGGGACAGTCCCTGCTCCCACAAGCAAGCACATTGTACAATTCCTGAATAGTTTCTGACTATAAGTCCTATCACTGCAAATGCCCAAAGAGATAAGTCAACACTGGAAATGGCTGAGCTTTCTAAAAAGTCTCTACAGACCATCTTAAAACAACAACAAAAAACCTCCTACCCTCCACCACTGCTGCTTTTAGTCCTTTGAGACTCTACTTTTGAACTCAACATTGCACTAATTACAGTACATGATCTTAAACCAAAGTAGAGTCTGCCAAGCTGTGGACTGAGCAGTGGACACTGTCTACTTGGACTTCTCCAAGGTTTTTGATACAGTCCCCCACAGCCTCCTCCTGGAGAAACTGACTCATTAGGGCCTTGACAAGTGGCCTGTGTGGTGGGTGGGGAACTGGCTGACAGACTGTACCCAGACGGTAACAGTAAATAGTTTCTCCTCAAACTGGCAACTGGCCCCAGGCATTGATATTGGGCCCAATGCTGTTTAATGTCTTCATAAGTGATCTGAATGTTGGGAACAAGAGCACCTTGATGAAGTTTGCTGAAGACACCAAGATGGAGAGGTTGATACTCCAGAAGGGAGAGCACCACTCCAGGATGACCAAGACAGGCTGGAGGAGTGGGCCAGCGAATCTTACGAAGTTCAGTGGAGAGAAGTGTAAGGTCTTGCACCTGGGAACAAACAACCCAGGAGCACAGTTCAGACTGGGATCCACTTGGCTGGAGACCAGCCCTGTGGAAAGGGACCTGGGTGGACAACAGGCTCAGGACGAGTGAACAGTGTGCTGCAGCAGCAAAGAAAGCCAAGAGGATGCTGAGCTGCATCAACAAGAACATCACCAGCAGAGATCAAGAAGTCATCGTCCTGCTCTACTTGGTGCTTGTCAGACCACACCTGAAGTGTTGTGTTCAGTTTTGGTCCCTGCTTTACAAAAAGGATGTGGACAGGCTGGAGAGAGTACAGAGAAGGGCCACAAGGATGATCAGAGGACTGGAGGAGCTGCCATATGAGGCGAGGCTAAGAAAACTGGGTTTGTTCAGCCTTGAGAAAAGAAGGCTTTGGGAAGACCTTTTTACCAAGATGGAGACTCCCTATTTACAAGGAGTCACATAGAAAAGACAAAGGGTAATGGCCATAAGTTGCTCCTGGGGAGATTCTGGACACTAGAGGTAAATTTTTCACCACAAGGACAGTCAAACATTAGAATAGTCTCCCCAGGGAAGTAGCAGATTCCCCCATATCAGCCAGTTTTAAGTCTCAGCTTGACAGGGTGCTGAGCCACCTCATATAAACTACAGTAGTACCTAGAAAGGTTGGACCAGATGATCCTTGAGGTCCCTTCCAACCTGTCATTCTATAATTCTATAAGCTGCCTGTTCACTGAGTCAGGATTGGGATAATAAAGAGCAAAAAGTAAAACCCCAAAACAAAAGCCAATATGAGGGGCAAG